GCTCCTGCTTCCCCAGGGGTGGGGGGGGCTCAGGGCTGTCGGGGGGGTTCAGGGGCAGGTTTGGGAGTTCAGGGGGGTCACTCACCGGGGGGGGCTGCCCCCCAGCCTGGCTGGCGGCGCGGTGGCTGCTGGACAAGGGGCTGTTGTTGTGGGCGGCGTTGGAGCTGACGGACACGGGGGCCTCGCCCAGCTCGGCCATGAGCGACAGGTACTCCTTGTCCATGCGCGCCTTGTCCTGCGCCGACTGCGGGTCCCCGGGCCTGCAACGGGGACAGCGAGACCGGGGCTGCACCCCAAACCCCTCTGGCTTTGGGGAGATCTCAGCGGCATCGGAGCATCCCAAGGGATTTTGAGGGGGATCTCGGGCAGGTAGGGAGGATCTCATGCGGGTTTCAGGGGCTTGGCAGAATCCCAGGGGGTTTGAGGGTGGATCTCAGGGGTTCTGCAGAGGGTTTGGGGAGATCTTGAGATATTTGGGGAACCTTGGGATTGGGGAAGAGTTTGGGGAGGTCTCAGGAGATTTAGGGAGCATCTGCAGAGAATTCAGGTGGTCTGGGGGGATTTCAGGCGAGTCAGAGAGGATCTCGAGGGCTTTAGGACGATCTCGGGGGGCGTTGGTGGTTTTCTGGGGTCTCAGCAGGGTTTGGGGGGATTTTAGGGAGATCTGAGGGTTTACTTTGGGGTCACCTGGCAAACTTGCAGTCAGAGGCGATGTGCCCAGCGCCGCCGCACTTGGTGCACACGGTGGTGTTGGTGATGCTGCGGGTCTCGGTGCTCTGCCACGGCCGCAGGATTCTGCAGGGGACAGGGAGGTTACGTGGGGGCTCGGGGGGTTATTTGGGGTGAACTGGGGGCGTGGGGCCCCCCTGACCTGTTGTCGTCCTCCCGCAGGGTCCCATTGAGCCGTGCCAGCTCCCTCAGCTGCATCTTGCGCAGGTCGTTCTGGTCCTCGGGGGTCTCGATGCCCTGCTTCAGGATGTTCCGGATCTGGGGGGCACAGGGAGTGTCAGGGGGGGTCTGCACTGCCGGGGGCCCCCCCCAGCCCTCCCGGACACCCACGGACCTGCTCCACAGCCTTCTTGACGTTCTCCATGGTGTTGGCAGTGACCAGGGCGTGCAGGGGCTCGTCCTCTCCCGGCAGCATCTGCCCGTCCTTGCGGCCCACCTTGCCCTCCTTCACCGAGCCCTTGCCCCGGATCATGATCTTGGCATTGCACTCCTTCTCGATGTTCTTCAGCGTGTTCCCCCTGGCAATCGGGCACCCAGAACAAGGGGGTCACATATGGACTCAGGGGGACACCCCACGGGTCCACCCACACCGGGACGCTGCAGCCCCTGCCCCGATCACGACTTTGGCATTATACTCCATGTTCTTCAGCGTGTTCCCCCTGGGAATGGGGGATCCCAAAATGGGGGATAGAGCCCACGGGCCCATTGGGGCCCCCCCACTGGGGGACAGTGCAGACCCAGCAGTACAGGGCTCATTAGGAGCTCAAGCTCGTTAAGAACACAGGGTATCATTACGCACCCTGCAAGTTATTTAGGGTGAGGAACGGGGCACAACCCAGGAAGGGGGAGGGGAAGGGGGTCACCCACCTGAATATTTTGGGGGATACCGAGAGGGAACACAACCCAGACAGGGAAGGGGGTCACTCAGTTGGATTGGGGTGGCACCTCACAAACCCACAGGGACACTCACATCAGGACCCCACAGGTGACAAGATGGGGACCCAGCAGCACCCCAGTGTCATTAGGAGCTCCCCAAATTTCTGGGGTGAAGCCCAGGGGACTCCTCTCCAGTCTCACAGTCCCCCCAACCCCCTGAGTTTCGGGGTGCCCACCTGGGCCCGATGAGGAGCCCCACGAAGTTGATCTCGGGGTACTCGTCCTGCGGGATCATCACCTTGTCGCTCACTCGTGTCGCCGGCGGCCTGGGGGGGTGAAAGGTGGGGGGTCAGCCCCTCAGGGGAGCCCCAAACCAGGCAGAATCAGCCCCAAATCGGGGTGGGGGAGCCCCCCCTCACTTGTAGTCAGCCGGGGGCTTGAAGTCGGGGTTCAGGGCCACCATCTCGGTGATGAGGTTGTGCCGCTCCTCCTCCAGCTTCTTGCGCGTGCGGAACTCGCGCGTGTTCAGGCGCTTCCCCTCGCTGTTGTAGATGGGCTCCGGGGAGGGGGACCTGCCCAGGGGGGCGGGGGGGTCACCAGAGTGCCCTGACACCCCCCAGAGGGGGCTGTGCCCACAGACCTCCCCCAAAGCCTCCCCAGCCCCCCGGGTGCGGGGGCCCTTCCCTGCCCTCCCTGTTGCCAGCGGGTCCTGGGGAGGGGGACCTGGGGGGTCAGGGGGTGTCACCAGGGCCAGCGCCCCTCCAGGGTGAGGGGGCTGTATCCCTGACCCCCCAAACCACCACAACCCCCACACTGCCCCCCTCTGCCACAACCCGGGGCGGGGGCTGCCCCCTCCCACCCCCAGGAGGGGCTTAACTGGGAGGGGAACATTAATTAGTGCCCACTAAAGGCCAGAAGAGCCCCCCTCCCGTAAAATCAGCCGCTCTTGCCCCTCTTTGCCCGTTTCTCTCCAGTTTGGGCCCATTTTCCCTCGCTTGTTCGGGGTTTGGCCCCTTTCTCCCTGGCTTTGTCCATTTCTCCCTGCTTTTGCCCCGTTTCTGCTCCTTTTTTCCCCGGTTTTGTCATTTTTGCCCGTTTCTCCCCAGCTTTGCCCGTTTCCCCAGTTTCAAGGAGGAAAAGGTCCCTGTCTGGGGGGGCCGCGCGGCTTTGGCAGCCCTGGAGGGAAGAGTCAAGGTCGCTTGAGCTGAGCCGTGTCGGGGTGAGAAAATCAGATTATGATTAAAAATCAGAATTATCAGCGAGGAAGGAAAAAAAAGAGTCAGAATCGCTCGGGTTTGGTTATATCGGCCCTTGGCTCCCCTCCCCCCAAAATAGCGAATTTTGGCAGCGGCTGCAAGAAGGGAAGAGATTAAGGCGGATCCTCCAAAAACAGCCGGCGCGGGCGACAGTCGAACCTGCCCCCGTTTTGGGGGGAAAAAGCGACTTTTCGGGGTTGGCAGCAGCCGGGTCCTCGGTGGAACTGCGACGTCACTGTCCCCGCTCGTGATTAATCGTTAATTCATTAATTAATTCCCCCCCCCCAGCGCTAACGACGCCGCAGCGCGGAGCGGCCTCGGCCCGGGCGCTGCAGGAGCAAGGCTGGGTTAGCGCGGGGCCTGCGCCCCCAAACCTGGGACACCCCCAAAACCTGGAGGTGCGGGGTGACCCCCAAAACCTGGGGGGCCGGAGGGTGTCCCCCCCGTTCCGGGACCCAGGAGGGCCCCCCCGGCCACCACAGGGCGAGGGACCCCCGTGAGGTGAGGGATCCCTGAGGACACAGGGACTGCCCCAGGACTGGGGACCCCTGTAGGGCGAGGGACCCCCACAGAGCTGGGGACCCCAGGGGGTGGAGGGACCCCCATAAGGTGAGGGATCCCTGAGGACACAGAGACCCCCCAGGGTTGGGGACCCCCTCAGAGTAGGGATCTCCTGAGGGACCCCTGTGGGTTGGAGGACCCCCCGTCGTGGCCTTCCACAGAAAACTGGGACCAAAACAGGTGGAAAAGATGAAAGGGGGGGCTGGGGCTGGTATTTGGCCCTTTTTGGGGGGCTGATGGCAGCTCTGCCCCCCCTCAAGCCGAATTAGAGAAAAAGAGGGGGAAGTGGGGGTAGAAAGGGGTGAAAAGGGGGTGAAAGGAGGTGCAGAGGGGCCGGGGGGAGCAGAGGAGCCGGGGCCTCGTTCAGCCACCAGAGCTCGTTAATCTGCCACCGTGGGTCGTTAATCCACAGCTAACAAGGGCCAGGCCGGGGTCAGTGGGGCACAGAGAGCACCCCACACCCGGGGGAAGGGCCCCAAAGTGGGGGGTCCCTGGATCAGTGCGGGGTACAGAGCAGCACCCCAAATCCGGGGGAAGGGCCCCAAAACAGGGGGGGCAGCGGGGGGAGGTCCCATCCTGCCCTCGGGGTTCGGGTGCCCAGGTCTCCCGTGCAGTTTGCGGGTCACTGAGGGGGTGCCCAGGTCTCGGGGGGAGCCCGGGGGGGTCTCAGGTGTCCCGGGGGTGCCCGGGGGGGCAGGGGGGGGAGGTCCCGACCTGTCCTCGGGGTTAGGGGGGATGCCCAGGTCTCCCGTGCGCAGTTTGCGGGTCAGGTCTTCGATCTGCAGTTGCACTGGAAGGAACCCGGTCCCGGAGAGGTGAGAGAGACACAGTTACAAAACACCCACATTTCGCCCCAAAACAACATTCCTCCCCCACATCCTGCCCCAGCCCAGCTGGGCCGGGCTAAAACTCCTTTCTACCTACACCGGCTCCGTGGCACCAAAAACAGGCATTACTGCCCTAAAACCAAACGTTATGGTGAGAAAAAACCAGGGGTTATCACCTAAAATTGACATTATTAGCAGAAAAATAGGCCTTCTTATCAATAACAGCAGGTTATTACCCAAAAAGCACATTATTCCCCAAAAAAAGCACATCATTACCAAAAAAAAGCAGGTTATTGCCAAGAAAAAAAATCATATTACCAAAAAATTCACATTATTACCCAAAAAAGCACATTATTACCAAACCTCCTAGCATTATTATGGAAAAACTAGAAATTGTTATCATAAAATCAGACATTATTACCTAAAACAGAAGATTATCAGTCAAAAAAAGACATTATTTCCTAAAATACCATACTGTTACCTAAAAAGCGAGATTATTACTTAACAAGGTAAATGTTATCACCTAAAACCACAGTTTTACCTAAATGAACCACAATTTTACCTAAAACAGGACATTGCTAAAAAATCAGACATTATTACCTAAAAGAACCACATTACCCAAAAGACAAAATCACTAAAAAAAACAACTGTTATTACCTAGAACAGGAAATTACATTAAACACAGACATCATTGTCTAAAATACCTCATTGTATCAGAAGCACACGTTACCAAAAGAACACTGCCACCTTAAAACACACATGACACCTGAACAGCACGTTACCATCAAATACCGAACACTGATAACCAAAATAAAGACGTTATTGCATTAAAGTGACACGTTATTGCCTAAAACTGCACATGGTTATCTAAACCTGCAGGTTTCAGCCTAACCCATTCCCCACCCCCAGAGGTCACTTCTGTTGGTAACTGGGGAGGAATTTGGGGGCAGCCTGGGGGGTCACACGGCGGTCACTGTCCCCCAGGGCCCAATTTGGGCCCAAACTCCTGAATTTTGGCCAAGGCTGGTGGCTGAGAGACACCAAAGTGACCCCTGGGGGACAGTGGGGGCTCTGCCCTCCCATTGCCCCCAGCCCCAGTCAGGGGGTTCTGACCCCAAATCTGGGGCAGGGGGGAGGTTATGACTCCAAACCCCCAGGGATTCCAACCCCAAATCCTCAGGGTTCTGCCCCCAACTCCCCCCGTTTTAACCCCAAATTTGGGTGTGTTACCGATGTAGGCATGGGAGTTCTAACTCCGAATCTCGAGGGGGGGGTTCTGCCTCCAAACCCTGGCAGGTTCCTCCCGATTTGCCCCCAGACCGTTACCGATGTGGGGGTGCAGCCTAGGTAGAAGGGTCTGATCCCAAACCTCGGGTTTTGACCCCAATCCCGGGGGGGTTCTGACCCCAAACCCCGGGTGTGTCCTGACGCCCAATCCCGGAGGGGTGTTAACCCCAAAGCCCGGGGATTGTGACCCCAAAAGCCCCTGTTTTTCCCCCAAACCGTTACCGATGTAGGCGCGTTCCTGCTCCCGCGTCAGCCCGGGCGGGATCACCGTGGGCATCCCCGGGATCACCGTCTTCTGGTCCAGCGAGTCTTGGTTCCAGCGGCTGCGCTTCCGCTTCCGCGGGAAGTCTGGGGGGAAACCAAGGGATGGGGGCAAATCCGGCACCGGGGGGGGACCAATTCCGGCCCCCGGGGGGGGGACGACACACAAATCCCGGCACCAGGAGGGCGCGGGCGGACACGGGGACGAGAGGAGGACAACGAGAGAACCTCCGTCCCCGGCTGGGGTTTAGGGGGGTCGCTCTGTCCCCGTGGGGTGTTTTGGAGGGGTCGCTCCACCCTCGCGGTGTGTTTGGGGGTCCCGTTTCAAAGATTCCCCCCTCTCCCTCCTGCCCCCGCCGGGCTCCATCTTGGCCGCGCATGTCACGACACGTGTCGCGGCCGGCGGGGGGAGCGAGGGGGGGCGGAAGCAACGGGACTCCCCCGAACGGGGAGGTTATAGCCCAGAGACCCCCCTAAACGGAGAGATCAAAGCCCGGGAAGCCCGAAACCGGGAGGGTTTACAGACTGGGGACCTCCAGAGGGGAGGAGTTAAAGCCCGGGGACCCCCAAACCAGGGGGGGTTACAGCCCGGGGACCCCCTCAGAGACGGAGAAAAGACCGGGAACCCGCACAGCAGTGGGGTCACAGTCCGGGGACGCCCCCGACACCTCCCCCCGACTGCGCTTCTCCTCCGGGGTCCCACGGCCCCCCCAATCCTCGCCCCCCCCGCGCCCCCTTCCCGGGCCGTACCTGCCCTCCGGGGCTTGTGCGCGGCTCCCGCACGCCCTCCCGCATCTCCCGGCCCGGCCCCCGCGCCCCCCGCACCCTCCTCGGGCCGCGGCGGCTGCGGGGCCCCCGCGGGCTGGGGGGGTGCGGCGGGGGCGGCCGGCGGGGCCCCCGCGGGGGCCGCGGGCGGGTCGTGGCCCGGCGGCGGCGACGGGAAGCGGAACTGGCCATAGGCGGCGGCGGGCGGCGGCTGCGGGGCCGCGGGGCCGCCCGCGGGCTGCGGGGTCGCGGGGCCGCCCGC